TTATTCAGAGCATTAGTTACACATTCAGTCGCAGCTTTCTGAAATGCTCAATTTCTTTGCTTTGAAATGTTCCCCATTGTCTTTCTAAAGACATGAACAAATGTGAAAGTATGAAAGTCCGTTACTATTTCTCCTTTTTTATTTTTTTTAAGGTAGTTTTAGGCATAATCTTTAAGGCTCAATGCTTTCTTTTTTATTACTTTAGAAAAAGACCAGAAGAAACCTCTTTAACTCTCAGCATAACTAAAGAGTCATTTTACCCCGTGGCAATTCTAATCTTCCTGTAATGATATTGGTAAATAAATGGGGGAAGGAGAAAGAAATCAAGATGTTGTATCTGTCTTCTCCATATATGCTTAATTTTGGAGAATTAATTTTGTTGAAAATAGTGATGGGATCCAAGGTACAAGTTCTATCACAGTTTTCAATTCTAGTGATGCTGAGATCCAGAAATTGGTTAAAATTAATTTCTGAGCTACTGAATGCTTCAAACACACATTTTAATTTTCTCTACACCAAACTAAGGCCAGACTGAATTCTTCAGCCCAATATAGCTGTGAAGATTAAAATGCCAAAGTACTTTTCAGTGATTTTCCCAGCTTGCTTATACATGCCATTGATTTCTTTTTTCTTTCACATTAGTCTTTCCTGAGGAGCCCGAGACTAAAAAAATAAATTACATGGACCTGCTAATAGTAAGCGTGGATAGAATTAAGTTATTTTTCATGGATCCCAGTTCAAGCATAGACAGTTCTGAGCAAATTTCTGCAGCAGTGGCTGAGGCACACACTGGCCCAGATCTTGTTGGAACAGAATGAAAGCCACACGGCCTTCCATAAAAATATACCACTCACTCATATCCCTTCAAGCATAGTGGAGCAGCTCCTACATGCAGCATTTTTATTTGCTCCAAGATCCATACACTAAAAGTAGCTGACCAGTCACAATGGCTGGGAGTCACTGAGTGGATGTGTTGCTACAGCAATTTTTAAAGTCATGAAACAGAAGCATGTGGGAGAGAGAGAGAGCACAAGGAGCAATCACTCGAATAAGTGATAAGCTCCATTTCTATGTGTTGATAATTTGTTGAGTCTGAACCACAAAAATAATGCACTCAACTGGTTCATTTCCTTGTTTGCTGTAAGTTACAAAAATACACAAAGAATATTTCTGCTTGGAGTCAAGTAATTTGGAGAGCAAGCATGGGATACAATGGACAGTAAAAGAAAGCAGCATGAGAGACAGAAGGTTGTTGCCTGTTACCCTATCATGTTTAATACCCCTGCATATGTTCTTGAGTGCAGACTAAGTGAGAAAAGTTCTCCAACAGAAGTAAAAAAATAAACACCAGGGACTCTCTAATACTTACTTCTCAATTGTGTTATTCCATAATTTTCTGACAAACAGAGAGGTTAAGAAAAATAGAGGGTTTTTCTTTATGGCTGGACATTTTTAAGTTATCATTTGTAAAACCACATAAAATGATTTAGTTGTCAAAGAATAACTGAATTACATAAATAAAACATTACATAAAAGACATCTCAGTGCAATTTATGTGAAGTGAATCTCACAAGGACCAGTCTATTGTAGAAAATTCAACTTATCTCTTCCTGATCCTTTTATTCTATCTAAACATAGAAATTTATGTCAGTTCAAAAAAATCTATTACTGCTTCTCATAACTGAATCCATTATTTTCCCTCCATGATCCATCAGGTAAAAACAAGTGCAATAGACAGTTCTAGCAGAGCCTTGAACATAAAAGACCTCAAGAATAGAATGAGATCTGTTAAACCTATCTTGCTGTGCACTATAACTGGAAATGATAACCTTGAGGTTTAATTTAAAACAAGTCATAGAAAAGACTTCTGACTGTAATTGTTATCTGTCACATAAATAAAATTATTATAAAATGGAAATGTGCTTGAAAAGGTACAGTTTTGCTTGTTGCATTGCCTGTAAGCAAATTGAACTCTGTGAAGGTTTATCATTCTTTGCTGCTTTCTTCCTCCAGTCTTTCTTAATAATGGATCCTTTTGACTGCAAAAATATGGAAAGAAACAGCTGAAAGCAATTTTCCATATTACTTTTTATTTCCAGAGCTTTACTGGGTCTGTTGCATTTAGTGATTTTTATCTCCTTTGTTCCCCTGCTAGCCCAAGGAAAAACAAAAATCCAAAATTAGACCTCATGTTATAGTGGCAGCATTTCCCGTGTATGGCAGAAGTTTCCAAACAGGCAAAATGAGGGAGTGAGTGCAAGTACATGGATTTAAGCCAGAAAGAGGAAAAAATGGCTCTCAGATCAGCACCTATGGTTTCCAAACTTGGCCTCCACTGGATTGTTCACAGTGGCAAAAGGACTCTACCAGGCACCAGATTTGGAGCAATTAGAGCAAGAGGAAAATGAACAGCCTGCTTTCCTGTTTTTCCTTGTTTTTCAATTTGCTATGAAAAGAAAGTGCACTGGTCTCAGGATACATAGCAGAGAGGTGGAAATGGAGCTCAGGCTTGGAAGACAAAGATTCACCTCACCTTTTCACCTACAGTACATTTTAGAAAGGCCAGACACTCACAGGCTGCCTCAAAGATGATCACAAAATTTATTTACTTGTTGCAGTGCCTATAATGAGACACAGCAAAGTGAACCTACCTGCTGCTTTTCAGCCAGCACTGCAGTCTCCCACCCTGGGCCAGCTCCAACATGGGAGAGGCAGCTGGCAGACCCAAACTCCATTAAGCAGCCGTGGCTGTGCAAGCACGCAAAGAGAAAGCCGAGATGGAGTGGCAGGATGCAACAGCAGGGAAAGGCGCCTGCCTGAAGCAGCCCAGAGCACCAGGCTGCATCACCTGGAGGCTGTCACATCCAGGTGCCTGCACCTCACACAGCTCAGCAGGGCGCAGCTCACCTGCAACTTCTGCTCCTTTCAGCCTAAGGTGGCTCCTGAGGCCACACTTGGTAGAGGGAGCTTGAAAGAGCTGATTGCAGTTTGCAGCATGTGGATTTTTACACACTCTCCTCAGAAAAGGGTCTCATCTCTGCCAGATTCCTTCACAGCAGCCAACATAGAGAACCCCGACAAGGGTTCATTTCAGAGGAGAAATGAAGTTTTGGGGCACTGATTCATCATCTCAAGGAGCCTCTCTCTCCTTTGACTACAGAAGAAATTAAGAAGACGAAGAAGTCAATTTAGCTGGACAGATAGACTTTTCTACTCCATAAATGTTGATTTAGGAATATATTCATTGTGCAGGTGGGATTTCTTCAGAATTACTGGTGTCACTTCAATGGAGTGCTGCAATATTCTGTTGACTTCCACCCAAGGGCAGAGGCCAGCAGAGAGCAGCTTAGACCAGTTGATGTAATTTAGAATTATGAAAATTTTCCTGTTTCCCTGATATCAATTCTTTTTTTTTTTTTTTCTTGGCAGCTTGTCTCCTGTGAAATGCACACATCTGTGCTGATGTTTTATGAGCAGTTTTGGAGTTGTTGTTTTTTTTGATTGGGAAAACTCAACTTTTATTTGCAACATTCTTAATGTAATAAGTCTGGAAAATCATGTTAGAAATACTGCTTTAACAGGAAGATCACAGGTTTGATGCAGAGCTCTTTCCACATAGCTGCATTCTTATTACTGTTACCCACTATTCCTATTATTATAAACCCACTCTGAGGGATTTGTTAACTTCACACTGTAACAGTGTAAAACACAGCTCCTAGCCAGACAAGAGATGCATGGATTGATGGAAGTTTGATAATCATAAATAACATCTTGTTGAAGCCACAAGCCAGAAGCTAGCACAAGTCTCAAAACAAGCATGGATGCAGGACAGCAGGACAGCAGGAGACTTTGCCTGGGAATCTCCCAGGTCCGTCCATGCCAGTTCTTATCAGATGGGTTTGGCAAAGCCATTTAACCTCTTGTTTCAGAGTGGATGATTACTTTCCAAAATCACATGGATGCTATGACAGCTAATTAATTATAGCTGTATTATGCTTTACAAATTTAATTAGTATAAAGAGGGTTAGTAGAGAGAAACACTGCACAGAAAATTAAGTTGAACATAGAAACAGTGCTGGAAAGCCACTGTAGTGAGATAGAAAGAGAAGAAAAATGATAAATAAGGAAAGGCTTTCGAATAATGAGTGCTTAAGAAGTGTCTACGAAAGAAACAAGCAGTGTGCTTCCTTCCAAAGGCAGAGGAGGGGGAAAGGAAATTAAAAATTAGAAGCAAGGCAAGCAAACAAGATTAATAGATTTTAAATATAAAGTGAAGACAATCATATGGAAAAGATGTAATAAAAGCCATCCAGATCCAGTAATGGATCTTTCTGATATTAGAGGAAAGTGGTAGGACACTTGTATTGACCTCACACTACTAACACAGCACAGCTCTTAATTCCTGAATTATGTTGTTAAATAATTAATTGATTAATCATAAGTAAATAATTAAAATTTGCTTCTGTGAGCCTCACAACTGAAAATATAAAACTGTCAGATCAAAATCTATGATACCAGATTTTTGCAGAACTGCTATTGTCCTTAGGGAAAAGGCAAAAAAAATTTAACATCTACAGCTATATAGACTGCTACAAGAAGCACCTGGGCTCCATTTCTCCATGGAACAAAATAAAATGGATCTTAATCTCCTGTATTAAAGCTGAATTTGAAGAAGGTAGAAGAAAGGAGTGCTAGTTACACTGGAAAATACCTAGTCCTGCCCTGTTGAAGAGGGTTCGTGATTTGGGGAAGGATTGAAAAGGTTTTCACTCTAAAGCAGTGAGACAGTCTTGAGTTCATGTTAAAATATACTTTCCTCCAATATCCCTAAAATTAAGAACCATAAAATAAACCCTCACAGTTCAATGGAAAATAACTCAATGGACAATAACTCACAGATATTTAACAATATTAAGAACAAATAGCTTCAGGAATCTAATAGTAATTTTGTTTATTCTTGTAAAAGAAGTACAGTAGACAAAATATAAAAATATCAGCCTGTGCATCCACAAAACAAAAATAATTATTTTTCTCCCATGAATATCTGTTTATTTTCACATATAGCAAAAGCACATGTACTTCAATTCTAAGCAAGGCAATTAATTTGGATTCTGCCAAATCAGAGCCATTACAGTCACAGGATTTTTTTTATTATTTTTACAATGAAAGGACTCTGGGAGCACAGATCCTGCTGTGTAGAGCCATCACATTCCTTCACCAGAACAAACTGACAGGAAGGAAAAAATCTAACAGTAAGTAATTATTCCAATAAAGAAATGACGAAACACTACAATAGTTACTTAGCTACATCATTTCATTTGTTTGTTCTTTCAACATGTCATTTTAAAATAAATAGAAGACTATTTTTTTGAAACATCCATCCTCCAGATTCCTGATGCTTTATCTTGCAAAGCACTTGCCGGCAGCAAAAAATTTAAGAGTTTTTGAGGATCGCAGGAGGGGATGAAGTGTACCAGGATTCTTCAGCATCCAAAGTGACCCCCACAGCTGGGGTTAGGCTAACTCCAAAGTCTCCATTAGCCATGTTGGCTAGGACATGTCCTTTAGGAGCATCCTGAGGGTTCATATTCCATTGCCAGGGCTGAGGCAAAGAAATAGAGATTGATGTCAGAGTCTCCAGCTGCTCTCTGAGGGCCTCAAAGGTGGGTCGTGCATCAGCCTCTGTGCTCCAGCACTGCAGCATCATCTGGTAGAGTGGCTCTGGACACCGCTCCGGCTGAGGAAGCCTGTACCCATTGTCCAGCAGCTGGATCACCTGGTATCCTGGCATTCCTGCAAGCCAAAATGTGTTCATCAGGCTACTCAGAGTCTGTTTACAGGTGCCATGTGTTCCTCTCTCTTCAGCACAGAATCATCATAGAATGGTTTGGGTTAGAAACGACCTTCAAGATCACTGAATTCAAAACCCCTGCTATGAGAAGGGACATCTCCCACTAGACCTGGTTGCTCAAAGCCCCTTCCAGCCTGCCCTTGAACAATTCCAGAGACAGGGCCTCATCTCTTACTGTTTACCAGCAATTAAAAACCACCTCCAACATTTCCCAACTACCTCATCCTGACTGTGCCAGCTGCAAGGCATCACAAATAGTTTTTTCTGGGTGTGAGGCTTTTCCCGCACCAAAAGTTTGTCAAAACCTTTCTGACATCTATTTAGCTTAAATAGTTCCTAAGCACCTCTAGTCTCATTGGCTACAAAATCTCCTAAGAAAATCTGACCTGCTGCTGAATTTTCCTCATATTTAGAAACTTTTTCCTAAAGTCAACCCTAGTTTTCCTCAAAGGCAGCTGGGCAATGGTATTCTCCTTGCTCCATCACTGCCAGTCATGGAGAAAAAAGCATTCCCCTATCTTTGCTATACATTTATATATTAAGGCTATTGTCCTGTACTCTTCCAATTTTTTACTCTTTAAATTAAACCTTGAATTGTGTTAACTTCTTTTCCCTAGATCTCTGAATGGTGTTTCCTCTACACATTAACCACTGCCACTACAAATCAACATAACCTCTTCTAACTGAGAACAAATTCCTGAAAGTAATGCCAAGTAAGCAAATAGCCAGGGCAAAATGGCATTTTCTACTTTCAAGATACAGATAAACTATGCTTTTGCAAAGGGGCAATACTGAATGGATTTTCAGACAATATCCAGAGCCACAGTGTTACTTATTGTTATACTAAAATGATTTATTTATGTGTGTGTGTCTCCATATGCACACACCTATAGTTTATGTAAGACTTCAGGACATTTTCCTTTTGCTTTTTTTTCCTTCAGAACAATGTCACAGGTGGTGAGGATGGGAATCAAAAAAACAAAATCAATTTTTCCTTTTACAGAAAATATCAGTTTGGGACCCTGTGAAATGTAGTTTATGGCAAACGCACCACCCCTCAGGGCTGTACAGATACAACATAACTTTTTTTTTGCTTTAGTCCTTCCCTTGTGTTCTACTCACCAGCACAAAATGAGTCACAGTCAATCACCTCACTGATATCTTGTGTTATTGGAGCCACAGTTCCTTGAGCATTTCTCACAGTGCTAGAAATAGTGGCTGCTGTCAGACTACTATATCTACTTTTGAGGTTGGTGACATTTTATTTTTTTAATTATTAAATTATTGTGATCCTTTCCTTTATGAAGACTTTTCACTGCAACAATCAAATACGAGGGAAGGGAGTAAAAACACCCTGATTTATTTTTCAGACACCTTCTTCCTGAAGTGCTTGTGCAGCACTTCACACATAATCTTTTCTTCCATGAGATATACTAAAATTTTTTTTTAAAAGGACAGGTTGGGGAATAAAAAAACCCCTTCCTTTATTTATTCCCTTTTTTCACATTCCAAGAATTGGCATCTTTGATCTGATGATGGAGGAAAATAGCCAGCTGGCTTAGGTGCCTGGACACGCAGGTTGACTCCAGCAAGAGGAAGCTTGAATGTGTGCTAACCACAGCCTTTGCAAAGCTGCCAGGGGGCCTGGGGAAGCCAAAAGGTCTGACCTACTAAATTAACCTCATCTGAACAATCTTCTTCCTTTCTTTAAAGTTTTAACCCTTTAACATGCCTGTAGTACAGGCATTCAACCGTCTTTTTTTGTGTTGTTCTGAAATCAAGAAAAAAGCTAAGACATCATTTTTTAGGCATAAGTACTTACCATGATAAGGCATCTGCCCATAGGTGATTATTTCAAACAGAAGAATCCCAAATGACCAGACATCTGATTTGATGCTGAATCTGTTGTAGCGAATTGCTTCTGGGGCTGTCCATTTCACTGGGAGTTTTGTTTCAGCCCTAGATTCATATACTTCTTCATTTTCTACCTATCATGGGTAAAACAAAGCAAGCCTAGTTTCAGATCTGCTTCAGCAAAGCACTTAAGCATCGACTAAGCTTAGCATGTGCTTAATCTTATAATCTTTTAACCAAATGCTTGTTTTTCATGTAAGTACCCATTTTCTGAAGTCTATCTATCACTGGATTCAGCTTTGCAGTTGAAAAATGCAGAGGCTTCACCAGAGGCTTTTCTAAAGCATTTACCATTTCAAGCAAGCACACAGCATTGGAGTAGTTCCTGATTAATTACGACTTGCTACTGTGAATTCTGGACCTGGCATAAAAAATTTCAAAAGTCTGTCAGGAGTGGCAGTGTAAGCATCCTGCTGACACTAGAGACCAAATGTCTCCACGTCTGGTCTACAGTAAAGAGAGAAGGCAAGAGCAAGAGCTAATGAATTTTGGAACCTTTCTTCTGTGATTTATTGTGGTGTTGGAGGGCCGTTGACTGATAACAGTCGCTTAAGCAGGTGTTTGGGGAAGAAAGAATAAACTCTGACTGATTCAAATTAACATATTAGTTTCCAGTGAGCTAATTAATGTAAAGTGTAGGTGAAAGACACAAAAAACCTGTTCAGTTGCAAATTTGTAGAATCATGTCCTTAAAGGTTTATCACACAGACATCTAAATTTTGTGAACACTTCTTCTTTCTTTAATTCCTACATGTAATGTAGTGTACGCAAGTCACACCCAAGCCTTGGTCACGTTTTTTACGTGCAAATCCAGACATACATGTACCAGATTTTGCTTTTTTGAGTGTTTAAATACAGAATGTATGTTTCCCAGCCGCAATGCTCAATAGTTTTGAAAATACTTGTTGTTATTGATTTGTATCTCTATACTTTTACAGTTATGGCATCTTGACCATCTTTAGAAACAAGAAACTATTACACTAAATAACACATGTTAAAATACAGATTTCATTTCTCACACTTAATCCTTCATAAGTGACAATGTTAGTGTTGGCTTAGGAGACAAAATATTCCTAAGAAAGTCTGCCCATACAACTCTATGACTGAGTATTTAAGTTCAGTTTTAACAAAATGTCAACAGCTGTAAATTATTAGCTTTTCTAGTGAGGACAGAAGAGAAATATCCATTACGAGCATTGTTCATTTAAAAGGATATATTTTTTATGTTAAAGAACTTGTAATATGAACTTATACATATTTAAAAGAATCAAAATGAAATTAAAAGAATTTTCAAAGTCCCTTGATGCCTCTGTTGAATCATTGTTCTATACTTCAGTATGTAATAAATCCAATTCTGTTATGAACTTCAATTTCTGCTGTTTGAATGAAAAACCAAAATGAGAAGCAGAAGACTTTTTTCCCTGTTTTTCCTTCTGATTGCAAGAACATAAATAAATAATAAAACCCAAACAAACACAGACTCAGAAATTATGGATTTCATATTTAAATCCATAAAATATGGCAAAATAAATCATTCCAACACTGATTAAATAATTTTCAGAGGTAGGAAATCTCATATCTAAACCACAGCTCTTTCGTAGGGAGACTTTGGTCAGTGATACTTGGCATTCTCTGCCTTCAAGGACTAGAGAAAAAAACAAAACAAAATGGTGCAGTGGCAAAGAATCTGCAACTGCAACAGATTTAAAGCTTACTTTATGAACTTTTCTGTTAGCTGGGGAGAGGAATGATTATGATTTACTACTACTTTTATGATTCTACCTGTGATCACAAGCATCATGGAGGCAGTGGGGAAGTGAACAAGGAGAGAATGTATGTCAATACATTTTTATATGCCTTCATTTACAGGCCCAGGTGTATAATCTTTCCAACATTCCTCTCCATGTTGCAGACACTAAAGCTTGTGCAGCAAAGGGTATTGATTGCCAGGATCCTTCCTGGGTAGCTGAGTGAGAAGCAGACACCAGGATTCTTCAGACTGACATAAAGGCACAGGACAGCTTCTAACCCTGCATGGGATAATGCAGGTGGAAGATACAAGTGAACATGTTATGGGTCCTTTTCTCCATGGGCTTGCCTTTGTCTGAATCCATCAAGTCAGGGCTACAATTCATTCTTCTATTTGGCCTCCTCCACCTTGTTCTCCAGAGTTAAAAGCAGGGACAATTAACTCTCTCACAACCTACCTTAAAAACTCTTGCAAGTCCGAAGTCTGCCACTTTGTAAACATTGTGTTCACCAACAAGAACATTCCTGGCTGCCAGATCCCGATGGATATAGTTCTGAGATTCAAGATATGCCATCCCAGAAGCCACCTGAGCAGCCATGTCTACCTGATGTGTCAGGGAGATTTTAGAGCCTCCATCTTCTGTTTAAAAAGGAGATGACAAGAACAACAGAAGAACAAGAACAAGATGCCATAAATAACTGAAAACCTGACTGGTTCAAAAAGCCAACACAATCAAACCAAACCATGCAATACAATGAAGCAATAGCCCAGCCAAATGACAGGGATTAGTGAATGACATTACTTATTTCCCAATAACTGAGTAACAATGCTTTTTCTGTCTTCTCTAAAAAAGTGGATACTAAATGCAGGAGTTAATCTAGGCCAGGAAAGAGCTCCTGATACAGTCCAAAGAGAAAATCTTTCATCTACTGATAGTAACATAGTATGCACCTTTCTGACAGGTTCATAAAACTGTTCCAAACTGTGAATAAGAGTTAATGTCAGTACCCAGTGGCCGTAGCCAGAGCTGACTAAGGATGGAAAAGCACAGAATTATCCTTGTTCCCTGTTCTCCAATGATTCTGAGTAGGAAAAATACCATCTGCTGTCAAGTATAACTCATTTTCACTTTCCAGTCCACTTGACTGCTTCACGCTGTTATCTCTGCTGTCGCTACTCAGGGGTAGGACTCCTTGAGATGCTTTCAAGCTACCTGCTTCTCCAGTAGAACTTTTTGAAGCAATGTGCATGTCATTCCCACCACACTAAGATGAGCAAATTCCAGCAATTAAGATTAAGCAATCAAAGATCATTGTTCAAACAATGCAGTAGAAGAACTTTGAGCTGAGCAAACTGCCTCCACAAATGAAGGAAAGTCCTAGGCCACAAAAACTGCATCCAAAAACTGTAAGGCAGGTAACAAAAAAAAGAAATCACTGGGGTATAACACATTAGAGTACAAATTCAGGGCTTTTGTAGCATTCTGGGGACAGCTAACCAACCTCCTCAATGCAAAAAATTTAAACCAGGAGGTAATAGATGGAAAACCAAATCAGTGTTACATTCAAGGACCACTGTCACCCAATCTCAAATGCTGCAGCACGAAGCATGGCTTTCTGCCTCTGTAGCCTCTAACACACCAAACCATTTCAACTTTTTGTTTCAGAACCTTAATATCAAAGAGTGGAATCCTTGCTGCTACGCTTATTGGCAGGTCTTTGTCATTAGTGGTGACTTTTACTTACTGCTTCTGTGTTAGAGAAATAAAACTTTTGCAGCTGGCAGTTTTCTCTCATTTATTTTTAATTGATTTGCAGTCATAGTGTGTCTTAGCATTGTTTTAAAAAAGCCTCCTCCAGTTCTGGCATTTTATTTGATACAACCTTGTGATCCCACCTTACAAAGAGTGTGAAATGCCATTGTTTACTAATCTATTCTGCAATATCCAGATCTTGAATTTCCTGCTCATCTGGATTTTTTTATATAATTAGGCCAAAAAAATTTGTTACATTTGTCCTGCTGTATGTGTCTTACTCTATATTCTTTTTGAAGATAAACTCATTGTCATGATAAAACAGCACTAATATTTTTTACTTCTATGGTTGACTCAGAATGTATTTTCCTCTCCTACACGTTTCATACTGCCTGGACTTTTAAAAGAGAGAGGGACAAAAATTGGACTGTGTGAAAATACACTCAGTCCACAGAATAATACAACACTCTGAAGATTTTCAGTTCTGATAACTGGGAGGCATCAACATTTATTATTCATTTTGCTAGACAAAGATATGAATCCACAAATGATGTTCATGTTGTATTTAATCAGAAAATACCTAATGTTTTCAAGCACCTTGCATGAGTACTTGGGTTTTTGAAGTGAATATGTGAACATGTGAACTACCTGGTGAGAGCAGACAAGGATACGAACAAAGCTGAGCACAGGTTTGTCACTGGTCTGCCGATGCTCCAGGACAGCCTGCCTTAAGGTTGCTTCTAGAGGCAAAATAAGGCAGTGCCACAGGAAAAAAGGGGTGACTCATCAGCCTCCTGTTTAATGAGCTGCTTCAGTGCCAAGTAGGAGTTAGAACTGCTAAACCATCCCTGTTTTATTTCCTGCAGGGCACTCAGGTGCACCATGCTAAAGGACAAGGATGAGATCCACCTCTTACACTGGAGTGGCAGCTGAGAGACCATTTCTTTCCTTAGGGCCTGTTTGGAATAGCAGACTGGGCTGACCTATTGCCTCTAGCCTGCGGGCTGAGGGAGGGGAAGAGGCCACTGTTGCCCTGGCTGCTGCAGTATTTCTTGGATGATCTCTCTCTGTAAGCTGCTTCTTCACTGCAGCTGTTCTGGAGCTAAAGAAAGGAAAGCTTTAATGAGGAGCCACAGCTGACCAGGAGCTACAACTTGTGCACAAAGACAGAGGATGAAATTACAGGTATCTTTGGGATCTGAAGTGTAAATCATGTATGTCTGTCTCCTAAAGACTTCTGACTACACCTCCAAAACTCCAGGTTGGGCCAGACAGAGCACACAAGTTCAAGCACAGCTTCTCTGGACTAGGTATCGCAGTACCTCACCACCCTCATAGTGAAGAATTTCTAAGAATTACGTCATGTTAACCTACCATCTTTCAGTTTAAAGCCATTTGCCCTTACTACCTGGCCTTGTGAAAGATCCCTCTCCAGCTCTTTTGTAGGCTCCCTTTAGGTACAGCAAGGCTGCTCCAAGTAGATAGATAGATAGATAGATAGATAGATATAGATATGTTTCTATAACTTCCACACCCAAAATCAGGCTTTACTGCTGAATTTATAAAATTTTCCCATGGATTATTCTTTAACTGATAAAGAAAATGCAGCACTTCCATGGTCTTTTTTACTAATATTTTTTGACAAAACCCTCAACCTCATATGAAAAATTTATTAGAGAAAATATTAAAGAACTCTCTTGGGGTCTGCACCCTGTTCTAAGCAATCTATCACAATTCCTCATATAGAAAAGACAGGAAAATATTCTCATTGACAGATATCTGACAATAAAATAAGAGAAAAATAAATAAGCAGCACTTTCTCCAGTGAGGGCATTGCCTCCACAATAATTCACTGAATTTCAAGAGTGCATACCTGCCAGAACAAGCCCCAGGTCCATCAGAATTGATAAAAGCACTCATACATTTATGACAATTTCATTCACTTCCAATAACAAAGAAAAGTTTTCAGGTGCATTTTTCTCATACTGGTGGCAGCTCAATAACTCTGCATAGCAGTGTTCATCAAGAACTCTCCCAAAGTACATTTACAGTGTGCACAGGGAATTCCCATGTCCATCATTATTAAGTAGCTGTCATTATGGGGAAATGTGATAGTAACTGTGAATAAAATATTGGGGATTTTTAAAGTTGGAAAAGCATACCATGCAGTTCTAGGAGGGGAATAGGAACAAAGAATATCTCTGGACTTTCATCTGCTCTAGGTTGCCCTATTTACCCACAGAGAACACAGAGACAGAAGCCTTCTGGAAATATTTTCCTGTTTCCTGCAGAGGCTGAATCTCAAGAAAACTTATCAAGAGCTGTTGTACTCCAGCTGATATAGATCACTTCCAGTCACAGAGCTTCAAATATAAGCTTGAAATCTCTTCCCTTGTTAGTCTAACTAACAGCAATGACTTTTCTCTGACCACAATACCTATCAAAACCCTTGGATCTCTACCTCCACCTCTTAGTTCTGTGCATTTCCCTGTGCATCAGCCGTCAGACAAGGAGGGATGCCCCTAGGCTGGGTTTCAACTGAACATTTTTATGGATATCTTGATGGCTGCCTGGAAACCAACTTTCCACAGCCTCTGATTAAGAGCTACAGAAGTGAGCACCTAGGTAAGGAGCAGGGTGCTGTGCATATGCTGGCAACTGATCCATACACAGGCTTGCAGCACTGATGTGCTCTGGACACGTTTACTCTATGCACACTAACAGGTCAATTTTCACCTCTGCAATAGCTGTGACTCATTCTGGCTTTCTCTGAGCTATTTCTCCAGTGTAATAAATGTTTCCATGTACAGCAATCATTTTCTGATGTGCCAGGCTCTTCAATCAGATAAGCTGCAATCTGCACACAAAGGCACCAAAGATGAGAATTTAAAGGAAATTTGTGCCTTGCTACCTCTGGCCAACAAATGCCTACAAAACTGTGGATGATCAGGCCCAAGGTCATGGCAGACCTAGTCTGGGCAGTTCCTGGTAGGGGTGTGTCAGAGATTTCTTTAGCTGTAATTGTGAGTGGACAAACCCTCATTTAAAAATGGTTCCGCAGAGAAGACGGGGGAAGGCATGTATCATGGTAAATGCTGTCTGTGGTATTACACAGGGCTTTGTTTTATGGGATGGAAACAGAAGAAATTCAGCATGACAACCGTGGCAAACATTTTGTCTTCAAGAAATCATTACAGCTTTAAAGACATTTAGCATCTCACAGACATCTGCTAAACTGAAAATGGGTAACAACTCTAGAATCAAGCATTTCCCAACAACAGGAATGAACTTAAAAGTGCAATCATTATGCTAGTCTGTTCCAGGCTGCACAATTTTATTTTTAATTATTATTTGCCTTCAAAAGAACACTTTGAAGTACTGCTGAGATAAAAGCTCTGATGAGATAGGCAAGGGACAAATTTGTAGTGAAAAGCTATCCCTGACTAGTAATAGTTTTCAAAGCTGTAAAGTACATTTTGTGGAAGTGCCTCTATTTCATCTCAATACAATGACTTATCCTGGATACTTATGCTTTTATTCCTTTGTGTATGTTCCCATCTGCCCATAGAACTGGATGACAAAAGAGGGGCCATTTTAAGGCAAGAATCATACTCTGAATGTGATTCTTTCCTACTTCTCAAATATTTTGGCATGTCAAAAATTCATAAACCTTTTTTTCCACTTTTCTCACCCCCACACATGACAAATAATGCAGCTTTTCCATTAAACCAGGGTGTTGTACTTCTATCTTTTATGTTAGTGTATTTACTAAACTGCAGCACCCTTAACATGAGTTTAGAGTAATTTCCTTACTTTTAAGGTATTCTAGAAGACTTCCGTGTCTCATCAGCTCCGTAATAATATAAATTGGGTCCTCCAAAGTGCAGACAGCATAAAGCTGTATAAGCTTTGGATGTCTCAAGTTCTTCATTATTTGTGCTTCCCTCAGAAAGTCTTTTGGATCCATTGAACCTGAAACAACAGCATATAACAAAACATAAGCTGAGGTTATTAAAGGGCTTTCTACCAGCCTGGCAATCTTAAGGGAGTAACTCATATTGTTTTCTGTCTTTGAAAGTACATTAAAATCTCAAATCTTCACAGTTCCCACAGAAAACAGACAGTGCAGCTGAAACAAACAGTTAATGAGTGAAACATTCCAGTTGCGTAGGGACAGAGAACATATGCGTCCCAGCCACCAGAAATATAAAGGCTAAAATCAGCCACCCCCAGGCCTCCCCCAAACAGGGAAAAAAACGTGAGGCTAGAATGTTAAGGGATACATTTTAAACAAACAACTGGTTAATGAAAGGACCAGAAACCAGAGGTGAGAATGTCTAGCTAATGAACACAAAATTTCTGAGAGAAAACTAGTGCTGCAATAAAAATCTCTCGCACTATATTTTCAGCTTCACCAATCAAAGCCTGGAAGTACTGAAATCCGTTTAGCATATGCAGAGAAGATGTGTGCATTTTAGATATACAAAAACAAATAGCTATTTATAATGATCGTGCAACTTTATCAGAAACACCAATGTATGCACAGATGTAACATTAATTTTACAATCTTTTAAATACCAGTGCCTTAACAGCAAATGATGCCAGCTTTTTAAGTGTTACATAAGATCATAACATCTCTAGTTCTATTCATATACATAGTGAACCAATGCAGAAACTATGTCAAAGAAACAATCAGAAATGGCACAGGAAGCTAAAGTCATGGCAAATGTAGGATTAAAGCTCCTATGTCCTGAACAGGGTATTGATTAGGAAAACATGCACAAATGAATGATCAGTAGTGATCATTCTAGTTCTAGATGAATGATTCAGTACTTATCAGATATTGTCAGACGTTTGAGGAAGTTGGTGAATAATATCTCCTTCAAAACACTTGTACAAACAAATGGGAAATTATTCAACTACTCAAATATCTCCTTCCCCCCAAATCAAAATACTTTATTAAGAAAATATTGCAGTTATGATTAGGGAGGAAAATACCTAGTTATCCAAGTTATTTTGCTCTAACTCATGTTTAAAAACAAACTCATCTTACTCAGTAATCAGACTAAGTAATTTGAGAAGCCAAGGCTGCAAAAGTAAAAGTCTTTATGAATTTTTTTTTAATATTAGGTAACCGATAAGGTTCCTTTGGGAGTTTGACTCTGTTCCAAACATGGATATTTAAATTATTAGAGGATGTTAAATGGCTCAGGAATAAAATTCCAACAGAAAATCTGTTCTACAAAAAGGACTATAAAATCAGCTTATTCACCCAACACCTACCTTGAATGCCACTTCCTGAAAAATGCCCCAGCCTATTTCCTAAAACATAGTAATGGTGTGTGATTTCATATCCTCATATCAATACAAGAGGAATGATTCAGAAATGTTCCTAATAAAGACTTTATGAAAAAAGAGCCAGCTGACATTGCTGCTTGGGAGAGCAAAGATTACATTGCAAGGAGCAGGTACTCCTCACTTCTGTTTCCTCATACTTCCCCTGGCAATCCCATACTGCCCAATTTGGCAAGACTTTATAGGATGTCGTTAAGAGGAATGGTCAAAGTTTCAACAGGTACAAGCTAGACACATTTTCTTTAGTCACTATCAGAGGAAAGTGAGGGCCTACACAAAGAGTAAATGATCACACCTTGTCTGAATAAAGCAGAGATTATGACAGAGAAAACCCAAAATATCTGTAATGCTTGCTTTTCTTGTTTAGAACAGCACTTTATCATTATAGGTTTACTTGAACTTTGCACCAATTCTAGATTTAAAAAAAATATTTTGAAGGTCTAGGGTTGTCTTTTTAAGATTTGGACTCACTTTGATATTGATTTAAAATTCTGCTCCATTTGCATACTTGTTTCAAGATATATGCATTGTCATAAAAAACAACCTAAAATCTAGAAGCTGCATGGTATGAAGCATTCTGCCTCCAAAAGCAAATGCATCAGTGGGACTAATGATTTAGCATCAGTGCCAAAATTTGACAAGTTGATCCTTAAAAGGATAAACTACTTGCTCACTTAGGGTCTTCCAAATCATGGCCCCTCTATGGATCACTATACAGGATTTCTTCACACCATAAAACTTGACAGTCTGATTTGTTCCCACTATCAATGTTTGCCTACAAGGAATTTCTGAGTTTAATCATGCTATAAACTTCTTCCAACAAACTGAAACCAAGCAACATGTTTTTCACATATGACAGCTTTCAATAAATTGATCAAGAAGGAAGTATCCCATTAGCTGAATAGCTGAAAATCCTTTTCTACACTGTAAAAGCAAATAACAGTGACAATAATGATAACCAACCAGAACAAGGTAAGTATTTCCTGCATATTTTAAAAAGCATATGTAACCTTCAGTTTTACTTAGTTTATATCTTTAAATAGTACAAGTAGCAGACAGCACCCCAACCCCCCCACAGCCTTGTAGATCTTATATTGTACTTAATAAAAAGATTGGATCCCAACCGAAAAGATTTTTAAAATGTCTTTATGAGTGTTCTGCCTAAGATTAGGTTTCAGCAACTGAATAAGCAAATTAAAAACTGCCTCTAAAAGCAACCAAACATGCTCGTTACAAATTAGCCTGTCACAATAGTGGCAAAGAATTTACTGTACATCCCTTTGAGGAAGGAAACACATGCCATATGGAGTTTCAAATAACTGAGGGGGGTTTAGCTTGTAGTTGAATATGCATGTTTATAATGAAATATACATTTTCACCTGTAAGTGGAAAACACAGGATAAAGAGCAGGTGTAAGTAGAAACCACTTGGTCATAAAATGAGTAGTTAACATATGCTTTTATTGAAACACGTAGAGGTTTCTTTTGTGTAAGATACCGGTTTGGGAGTAGATTTATCAGCACATGAAGAAAATAAGGTCTTGATAATCTGTCTTTTTGAATGAAAGATGTTTTTCTAAATTTCAAAGTCATTCTTAAGAATAAAATGTTGGAATTTCTTTCTTTGAGATGTTCTATGTTGTGCTGCTTTGGCAGGAATCGCCTCTAATTTAAGCCTACTTAAAACAGATATATTAGTTCTGATTAACTTCTATTTGAAAATATTTTGTTATAGATCTGAAGAAGCTTCACATTCTAAGATAAACACTGATAATCTGGAAATGAGTTAGAGAGGAAGGCCAGTTATTTTCCAGATTCCACTCTTCTAAATGTAAATGGCCCTAAAATATTTGATAAACCCATCACAAAACCCTTTGTTTGCAACTTTTCAATAAACTTTCCCAAATTGCTTCAAAGTACCCTTGTACACTTGAGAGGAACCGAGTCCTCTAAGTAAAGTTTATAGAAAATTAATTTATGTAGAGACTGCATTAAGCATATACCTATGATCTTCTGAACAAGTTTATGAGTAATAAAGAAATAACTTAGAAACTAAGTATATGGCAACACAAGAGACTAAAATATCCTATTCACATTAACAGATGAATAATATATGTTTTTGGATATTCTCAAGCAGCTTTGTCACCATACAGAAGTAAACTTACAAGTCACTGTAAGGCCACGTACTGAATTAAATGGAATAAAAAATTCTCTTTTTTTCAGGGAAATTGGGGTACTTCCCTGAGAGCAAAGCTTTTTTACACTGTATATGTATTAAAGAGTTTACAAATTAAAGAACTGGAAATATTATTAAAAACTCCATTGACAGTACCAACCCAGACACTATATTGGAAAAGCCTCCTGAAAAAAAAAATCATCCTTGGACAGTTTCCATGAAGAGAGAAGTTTGGGAGATGCTTTACAACGTGATAATGACAAATGCATCCGTCAACTTCAACAGGCATAAGGAACTTTATCAGATACAATTAATTGGTGATGATAGATGTCTCCTTCACACGCTGACAGCTGGAGAAGCAAGCTAGCTCAGACAATAGGTTCTAGAAAATCCATCACACTCAACATAGGACAAAGTGCAAATCCCTGCTGCAATGATTTCCACTTAAATAGAAAAAACCAGTGTTTCAGTGAGGAAATAAAAACAGAAATGTGAAATGACATGTTCAGGGACCTGCATCAAGAAAGTGATGTGCAAGGCCAAAACCAGAAATAGCAACTGTTGGTTTCTAGACTGTTTTCCTATCTACTGATCACTGCACCTCTTTGAAAATTGTGGGTCAACAGCTCAAAAGTCAGAGATGTTCCTTAAGGCAAAGATATTCTTATGTTTTATTTTTTCATTCACACATTCATGGCAATGTTGGGGCTGGTAAAATGTTACAGATGTCTCCAAAGCAGAGACAAGTGAACCATGAACAAATAAGAGAATTATGTGAGCAAAAGTATCACATTACTATTGCTTTTTCTTTATAGTCACACTGAACAATAGATTGTAAAAGGAATAAGGAGAGATAATGGGAAAGACATTGACAATGATATTTGAGAGCAAAGAGTGGAATGATCTCAAGGAATTTCAGTTGTTGTAATTGTGCTGGAGGGAAAAGGGGTGTGTGCAAATTGTTGACTTTGGTATCGTGATTGTGGTGTTTTGCTTTTGGGGTGGGGAATTATTTTTCTTGATGTTAGTGAAGTTTATGAATGGGGAATACGCCACCCAAACTGGAGCAGTCTGCTCCTGCAGGACTGCATCCCATGGAAGAGACCCGCACTGGAGCAGTTTGTGAAGAACTGCAGCTTGGAGGTAGAACTCAAACCGGGGAAGATTGTGAAGGACTCTCCTGTGGGAGTGACTCCTTGCTGCAGCAGAGGAAGAATGTGAGGAGCCCTTTCTCTGAGGCAGAAGGAGCATCAGAGACAACGTGTGATGCATTAACCACAATCCTCATTCCCTGTCAAGTTGCACCACAGGGGAGGAGGAGCTAGAGAGTTCGAGAGTGAAGTTAAGCCCAGGAAGAAGGGGGCAGGGAGGAAGTTGTTTTATGATTTTCGGATTCCTGGAATCTGGACTTTGCAATCAATATAAAGAAATGTGCTCTAATAGCATGTTATTTTCCTATTGTAATATGCATTTTTAATCTATAATATGTTTTATCTGATATGTGAGTGCTTATTTTTTCCTACTAATTATTAAAAAATCTTGATATATCTGAGAGGCCAGATACCTAAAAAGAGAGACAACGTTGCTAGTATGCTGCACATCAATGTTTCTGAAGAAATAGTTGTGAAATTTTGAGTTTGTATAAAATATTTGAAAAATTGTTTCTTGCTCCGAATTGGAATGGAAACAGACTTCTGAGTACCCTAATCACTCACGAGTCAGAAATCACACACTTGCAAGGGAGAAGTGACTTTGGGAAAAGCCATTACTGCCATCTTACCAGAGAAAGTTTATTTGAGAAATGAGAAGGATACTATATAACAAGAAACTGCATTTAGCCTTTCTAAAGACAGCTGAAAATTAGTTTAAGCCACTCTGTGTTTACTTCCAGAATGGAAAGAAAAATTAATACATTCAAATAGGTTTTTATTTTATTACAAGAAGACATAGCAAGGGTTAAAGGGAAGACATCAGGTAAATTCAAATGTGTAATTAGGTGCACATTCTTACAGTGCCTTCATCTTAGGACTAGAGGACTTCTCATTATTGAGTAGTCAAGAGCAAGCTGTGTTTTGATAAAATATAACTGCTAATCTCAGCAGAGGAATGATGTGTAATGGCATATAACAGCAAAGTATTCTGACTATATATGGTCTAGAACAGATGTACACTGCAAAATAATGCTCAACAGAAAAACCCAAAGTAACAGATATCCTTTCTGGCCTTCAGGCCTATAAATCTGTGATATCCTGATTGCATTATGCTCTTCTCTATTGTTCACCATATGATTACCCTTGATCAACCTGCTCCTGTGTGGTAATAGGAGCATTGTTCCATTTCACAGTTTCTCTGGTGGTAAAGCCTTTTTAGCAGAACCATTTCCATCTCACCCCTTATATTTGCCAGATCACTTTGAGTTTAACATGCTCCTCTGTTTTTCTCATTACTTGCTTGTCCAGAGAGTCTACACTGTAAAACAGCTTAATGAAAAAGTCTGCAGTTTAAAATACACCCCCTTCTGCCCCAGTGTAAAGACAAGAGATTTAGATCTTTGAGCCAAGCAATAGGAGAGGCTCATTTTACAGTGTATTACATGTGAAGCCTGAAAAACTGCTTATGAGAACATTGGAAGCTTCAATCATCAACACAATATATTTCTTGATTACTCATTAACTATTATGTTTTTGGTTCATTTATCAACTTTATGTTATGGTGAATGAAATTACCGACCCTACCATTTGCTGAAATTTTATTAGTACCAAGGTAAACATTTATTACTCAGTTTAGGGTCAGGGTATTGTGGTTGGTCTTTAATTAGTGAAGTGTTATTCCTCATGAGTAACAATGAGCACAAGTTGTGGAAAACCAATGCGCTGATTACTGCAAAGCATTCCAAATACCTTTCACTATACAGTTTAAAACACTTTACAGAAGAGGATAATTCCGTGGAGAAGTAATATTACATGTTAAATGCTTACGTATGTGACTGTTTGAACTGTTTTTGTAGAATGAAATAGTTCACAAAGTACAGTGATAAGAGATTCAGCGTTAAGTACATAATTTATCAGGGATGAATCAAAGTCTTCATTCTGAGCAACACCATGTGCAATGCACATGGCTTCCTTATCACAGTGTGAGGTCACAAACTCTGCTATCCATGCACTGCATCCAGGTGGGGCTTCTAACAGCCCTAACTCAATACAACCCACCATGCAATCAGTGAAACTACTGCTCTTGACCTTAGCAAGAGTCAGACTGGACTGGGAAAAACTGAGATAGAAAAAGTATTGATTAATCGAGCCCTTTTTCCCAGGTGAACTATGATACTACAAAAAGAATCACAGTTGAAGGAGTTTCTTCCATTATACTGTGCTAGTCTATACGTGATAACAAGTTTGCAGTGAGTCTTATGTTTATTCCAGTGATAAAGAGCTTGTTTCTGTTTGCTGAGTCACTAGGGAGATGCACCTGTTCACTGAAAAAGTATTGTCTTTCATATGGATTAGAGAAGGTCTTTAGTTTGAGTAGTTTTTATATTTTCAGTTAAGCAGAGAAAAAAAAAAGTGCTTATTTTTTTTCAGTTTGCATGTCCCAAAACACAAAAGATATCCTGATAGAAGAGAGCCTTAAAACATATGTTTAAATTCCTCCCTGTTCAGGGGACCATTCATGCAGTGCTCAAGCATATTGATGTTATTCTGAATCAAAGGTCTGAATCTGTTCTGCTTCCTGCATCAGGTTCATTAGTGCCCAACACAGGCTTTTTCAATTAACCACGGCTCATGTTGTTATGTCTTTTTAAAAAGCATGTACATCATCCAGGCTACCTCTCTAATCTATGTGGTTCTTGCCATCTGCTGGCAGATATTTTATGTTGTCAATTGAAAATGCAGAAATTACTTGAAGTTAATGAAACATAATTAAGAAAAATGCTAAAACCTGTATTAGTCACAATCTTATATTACAATCAAATAGTGGGTATAAATGTTGTGTGTCAAAAACTTTGAAAAATTTTAGTCAAACAATACTAGGATTAAAGCATTCCTTAAGTACAAATTTAGCACAGTAAATATTCTATATTACCAAAGAAATCACTGTAATATAGCACCTAATCACTAGAAAAATCCTACAGATGACAAACTGCTAGTAAATCAATTACTTCACCTACAGATTATTCAATCTACAGTTACTCATTTCCATACAAACAATACTGTAAAAAATAGGTACAACCCTTGCTGCGGTTGCCTTTTTATGTGACACAGAAATTGAATTAATTCAGCTCATCTAGAAACAAAAAACTGTATAAAATTCTAATTCAAAATACCAAAGGCTATCTGGACCTAGAGCTTTATTAATCTTCATGTCTAGGTGTGTGGATTTTAAGAATGAGTGCATATACAGATAGGCTCTCTTTTCTGTACCATTTAAAAAGTAAAGGAGCAGTCTTGCTAATATTTCATGTTATTAACATTTAAGAATAACTCGCATACCTGGTTTTAATGTTTTGATTGCCACGGGGGTGGTATTATTCCACCGTCCTTCCCATACTTCACCAAACTGACCACATCCTAATTTTTTCACCAATTTCAGAGATCGTCGGTCTATCTCCCACTGATCAACAGTTTTGTAAGACAAATCAAAAGTAGCAGGAGTTTGTGTCTGGTAAAAGAAAATAAATAATACAATAATTGAGACTTGTAATATTTTTTCAACAACATATACAAATCATTGTTAACTATGTCGTGTAAAGCTAGAAGAGATATGAATAATGTTTCCTTACAGTGCACACATGCAATAAAGTGAATTGACAACATAAAATACAACCTTTATACTGGGTGCTCTTTGTTAGAAATAAGAAATATGCTACGGAAAATATCCTGCCATTAAAAGCAAAAATTAGAAATCACCCCTCTAGCAAGTTTTTTGAACAGTGACATATTGTTTGCCAGAACCTTGTGGTTTTGTCTCAGTAATTACTTATGGATAGCTAGAGTTATGAAGTTGGAGATTTCATCTCCATATATATTTATAAAAAAGTATTAATAAATCATGATTTGGCATATTTCCCAGCCCGCCCCCCCCCAGACACTTGATGATTTTTTCAAAATGACATGGTACTTGATTATTAATTTGTTAGCCTCAAGAATGAAACTGTAACACTACCCAAAACTTCCTGAAAACAAGCAGATCATTAACATTCTGAAATGGTAGAAGAAGATATGGGGTCAACACTTTCTGACAGATACCTGATGAGATTGCTCACAAAAATTACTTTTCACAGTCTAGCATCCACTCCTTACCTTTAGGCATGGCTGTCTGAGCAACACGCAGAGGCCATCCCTGTTCTTGCTATAATAGTCAACCAACTCATTCAGAGTTTTGAAAGTTTTCCTTTCGGTTAGGAGAAAGTTTCCATCCTTCTTTCTGATCCTGTAGTGCTTCACAGATGTACCATCAAAAACTAAAAAGATTTAAATATATTGAGTGTCCAGGAATTATTGCAGTGGTACAATATCATTTACACCCAAACCATAATGTTCCTAAATATATTTATGAGGACCTTAAAATAAATTATTTTAGTTCCAAATAAATCAACTATTCAAACCAAAGCTCATTGTTCAGATAACTTCATGCATCTTGTCTATTAGTCCCCAGCTATTCAGATTTGGAGATTCTCCAGCATAAGAACTGATGTAGAAGTACATAAACACATCTTCTGTGAGGCAGCTCACGTTTCCCATCTTTGAAGACCTCAAAACCAGCCAAAAGCATCAAATTGACAGCAATCATTTAATCAGTTTTTAATATTTCCTTTATCCTCCTTTATTTTAAGGTTAACATTCCAAACAGCAGCTGCTCGGCTGGCAGGCATTTTAGAGGAAACAGATATACCCTCCACATAGCCACAGTTGTCTGAAAAGCACTCACATCTTCCAAAGGTTTTTTTGAATTTTTGTATGTTTGGAATGTGTAAAAATCAGGTGAATAACGCTCTGTTTCAGGTAGTTGATTAATTCCTTTTCAGTGGAATGTTTTTTTATTCTAATCTGTTATGTCTTAATAAGTTACTTATCTACATATCATGACAGCCAAAGTGTCCCTCCCTGTGACTGCTGGAGCACTCTTCAGATGTGCCAGAAAAAAGGCTGGGCCACTGCGTGCTGGGGCTAGACATGGACCAGCACAAGATCAGAGAGACAAAAAATAAATATAAATCGCACACACACACACACACACACACACACACACACACACAAAAACAAAGTTTGGACACCCACTAGTTTAGAGATCTTTATGAAGGAATATCAGTAGAAGCAATAGCAGGCTCAGAATCATCAGAGAAGGCAGTTCAGAAGAGCTGAAAAAGAATTAGTCACTTATATGGGTGTCATTTACAAGACACTCCATTATTTAGACATCGCTGTCCATGTTCAATGGGCAGTAGAGAGTTTATATTACATACAGAAGGGTAACTGATTTAGCTCCAAAGAAGTCCACAGCTTTTAGCTCTAACATTAAGAGTGTTCCACAATAAACCTAGAAGACAGATTGTTTATGCTGTTCTACTGCATGCATCTTGGCAATAGCTTTGGTTATAATAACAGAATACATGGTTACATATTGTATGTAGAAAAAATATAGAATTGGTTGCATGAAATTAGCAAAGCTGATAAGAAGAATAATTTCTCTCACCATCTAAGTGATGAAATCAAAGAGGAAATCTCTCCTTCCTAAAGTACTATTGTGGATGATCAAATATTTTTGCACTGTACTGTGCGATTGTCATCCAAGACCACCAGAGAGCAGACAGGAGCTTTTCAAAATACTCCAACTCGGGTAGTATTTTTAGGAATCTGGGAATTTATAATTCTGCATGAGGACAGCAATGAGAATATTTGTAAACAAAATCCATATTACATTGCAGTTTTCAAATTATATTTCTTTTTTAATTAATACTCATAATTACTACTTTTTAACTGTAAAATTTATGAATATTTTTGCAATGTGTCATTTGGAAATGGAGCTGAAGCAAACTGAAGAAATGAGTAATTCAGTAAGAACAGACTGAAAATGTAATGACTTTTCCAAAGTTCACAGGAAAATTAATCCAGACAAATTAGTCTTTATGATGCATTGAAAAAAGGCCAACAGGATGACTGTGTTAATCCAGTTTTAGTTGTATATCACAAGTAATAGTAGTTTGACTATCTGATTTATTTATTAGCAGTATTAAAATTATTACTTGTGAAGTAGCTAACATTAATAATGAAAGAGCTGGTTTGAAGGATGTGCTCTAATTTCTTAAATGAGCCTTTTACAAAGGCTTATGATTGACAGCATCTAGGTCGGGTAGTGATTTGATGGAGAAAATTTATGTACTGATAATATCTCATCTTGCAATAAGTAGCTGATATTAGTGAAGTATTTGACAGGGGGTTGTTTACTTCTGTTTTAGGGCTGAGTTTGGCTGTACAAGTCCTACAGCACACACTTGGGGTTCCACAGCACATTGTGGCTCCTCTGCCAAAATTATACAGAGCACATGTCACTCAGGAAAGGACTATCTGTGGACACACACATTTAGAGAGCTAGGAAATTACAGCTTGGAAATTCTTCTTCAGGCCTGGATTTCTCCTGACTCTCAGGTCCATTCCCAGGCTGACAAGCTGACTACAGCTTCAGTTAGGGAGGAAGTCTCCCAGGGTGATAATATGGTGAAAAGCAGAGCGGAATTCATAATAAAAATTAACACCTGGTGCCTTTCCCGTGGGATACATCCTGAGGTACTGTCCCAGGGATGTTTTTCCCAATTGTCCAATGAGCTACTGTCCTGTCCTAGCTGCACATAACACACTTTAAATACAGGCTGTCCGTACAATAAAGTTGGCCTTTTTTCCCTAAAGAAGTCTATGTGTGTTGCTGTCCTTTCCCTCTCTTTTTAGCACAGTAACCACAACTATCCATAACCCCTTCCAGTCATCTCTATATCCATGCCAGACTACTAACCAGGACAGGGTTGTAATTTCAGTTTCATACAGCTTGGCAGTAGCTGGGTTTGAAAACTGAAGACGTTTTCTCCTCAACTTGCCCTTTCCGAAAGAATTACAGCTCCCAATTAGATTTCTAAATGGTTTCAGTCTAGCAGAAGGATTATCCTCTCTATCCATCTTCACATGATGGGTTAAGCAGATGTGGGTTTTAGCACCTGAAGAATGTGAAAAAAATAATTTACTACTTCTTCCCCAGGGCACAAAAATTTATGGTGGCATCAGCGGAGTCCACACCTTCACCAAATGAGTCATGGAGACAGTAATGTTCCATTACTGCCAAAAGCAATGTGTCCCAACACAGCTCCTGTGAACAGTCCTCTCCCAGCCCTCGCCATGCATCACTGCCATCAGCACCTCTGCTCTGCCTCCATGCCCAGAGTGGATGTGAGAGGAGGGTGACTCATGAGATCACTCTCACCAGCACAGAATGGGTACAGAGACAGATCCAAAATCATCCTCTCAGTATGGCCATGATTTTGCCAGTTCGATGAGTCTGCTGCCTTAAACAACTACCTGTTTTTCCTATGCTGGAACCCAAGAGGAAAGCACACAATATTCTTTTAGGAGCACAGAAAAAATAGCTGAAGAAAACACAAACAATTTACATTGTTATTTAATGCAATAAGTCTTTCAGATACCATTATTCAATGATGGGCTAAGTACAGAGCCTCCTGCTAGCATTGGCAATGACACTCAATTAAGCTGAGCGCATCTGAATTATGGCTTTTAATTAAAAAGAGGCAACATCTAAGATGGCACCAACATGTTTAAAATTTAATGCATTTCACACCAGATGCTGGAGTCATCAACATAAAAATCTGTCGACAACATGTGCATTTTTAAAATGGGAAAACCTATTTTTAAAATGTCAAACACTCTAAATTTATAGTAACACATGTCAGTGGCCTATCCGGCTTGATGAGCTTTCCATTTCACTATTCACAGATGATAAAAATCTTTCTGAACATGAATTTTTGTTTTTAATTTAAATAATTATTTATTATCCAAATGTTACAAACTGAGAGTTTTCCCAACAAGGCAAGTTAGAAGTAAAAAGTGCAACTTTAATGAAAGATTGATTTTTTTTCTTACTAAGGGGATCATTTGTCTCCTTAATTAACATCAAATCTCTTACATATCTCATTGCCCATATGAAATTAAGCATGAAATTTACAAAATCAGTTTTTGGGTTCTTGGGTAAAAATCTTTCTTCAACTTCTTTTTTACCTAAATGGCATGCTGGACAGAGAATTAAAATATTTTCTTGAAGACGTTAATTCTGAAAGCCAGGTTTTCACTCTTTAAGCCACTCTTATCTACTCTGCAATGAAATCAAAACAGCAATAAAAGCTAGAGCAAAACCAATCAGATCTAGAGAAGATGGGACTTTTGAGGTCTAATGTCTCTGGACTGAAAAAATTTGGAAACCGAAATTAGGGAATTATTTCAAAATATCAGATTGTGACTTCTCCCCTGTCAGTGTATCAGTGTATACACTACCATGGAGATAGAAGCCATCCTTCTGCCTCAGCTTTCATGTCTCATAATTATCACTGATGGCACAAACAGGAAAGATGCAGGAAAACTCTCTTCTCTGTAGAACCTGGTGAACTGAACAAACTTCTTTCCTACTAATGCTTCCCACAATACACACCACTTCATTGTTTGCTTTAGAATGCACTAGCTTTCCAAGAAGTAGACAGTGGGCAATGAGATTATGGACATAAAACATCTAGACTATGCTGTATAGTATTATGTTGGAAGCAAAAGAGTTTGCACAATACAAACAGATTCCATTCAGCTAAGCCCATTCAGCAAGCAGCAAATAATATTTAGTTCTTTGGGATGAAGTAGCATGTTAAGGATAAATTATGTTCAACTCTGGGAAGCAGCTAAAAGATCTAGCAACACTGGGAAATGATGCCACCAATAGCGCTACAGATTGCTTCAAAGTTTATCCTCTTTCTTTGCCTAAAAGAGCACAAATATTTAATAAATCTGAGATGGTACATATATTCACACATATATGCCTGCTCAGAGGACAACCCACGTTTGTACAAGGAGAGCTGACTCCTGCAGCTGGAGCCTTGCCTCTGTGTATATTATTTTCTTCAGCACCACTCTTATCTTCCTTAATCAAACAAACCAGCATGAAACAAACCCACACTGTTGGTTTCATATCTTGCTCTTATCAGTCATCATCAAATCTCTTCTTCCTAAATAAGCTTATCGAAAAATGTAAAAAAAAGTCTACCACAAGCTTTTATAATTGGATCAAATATACTAGATCAGATGGAATAAATTTTCTATCCAAAATTTGTAACAAAAAACTAAATAGCAGCATCAAAGAGTGATCGCTTACTACTACAAACGGTGGCTTAATTTTTATTTTCATTCTCTTGGATTTTTCTCTGGAGTATCTCATAGTTTATCTCAGATACTTCCACGTTCCTGTTAGAGAAGTGGTTAGGATGTGGGATAAATAATTAATATTTTAAACCTTTTCTAAAAGCCTACAGTTGGAGAATAATAAAAAGAATTTGCATTTCCTCTCCCAGGTGCACAAGCAAAAGTTTTTTCATTGATTCTTAGTAATGTGCCATGTATTCAAGTGCCATCATTAAGAAGATAATACAGGCTTGTCTTTCCTTCCCTGCACAGCACCACCATGTCATCAGTCTAGCCCAGTTCTTGGATGAAATCAGTTTGCTGATGAACAACACTTGGAGGAAGCTGAAAGCATGCAACAACAGCAATAAGTTTGCACATGTAGAGAAAGCATTTTGAAAAGTCTCTGTAATACAGTCCTAGGATGAAAGTGTGCACACACAAAGGGGTCTGTTCTGTCACAGCTCAGGAGCAGTCTGATTCCTTGCTAAAGATAGTTTTCATTTAAGCATTTCATGGCAAGGACCAACTTCCTTGAGGGCAAACTGAAAACCATGGAGTAAACTCTCCCAGTACTGTAAATTTATTTACATTTATTTCAGTAAACTTCCCTGTATTTCACATTTCTTTGCCTTAGCAATACAAAGCATTCCTCAAATTACCACAAGACATTGCAGGTACAAACACTTTAGTTATAATTGGGAAAGTGAAACCAAGAACTTGTCAAAATTTCCTTAAGCTGTGTTTCTGTGTAATATTCAGAAAGTGAATGACTCATAATCATCCAGGCAAAAGAGGAGTCAAAATGAAAGGATCTGGTTATGGACAAGGTGCCTCACATTTTACTGACATTATTCTACACATGACTACTCATAGTTTATTAACAAACATCAAAAGCCTTTCCTGGCTCTGGAATTAATATAGGTAGAATACATTAGGAAGTTTGGGTGTATAGCCCTGTCGTCTCAAGGACAACACTATACTCCTGACTCACAGTTGTATGACAAGTTTGATGGGAAATGTTCACAGAAAACAACCAATGAACAATCACATTTACCAGCTAAAATGGCAAATATCTACAGCATAAAACATACGATGTACTTAGATGTGAGTAAAATTATTAATGAATAAGTGTCCTAATTTGATAATCATTCAGATCAAATAAATGACTTAAATAAATTTCAAAATGCACCATCATTATCAATCTCATTTTTTAATTATGTTTACGTGAAATTTGCAATGAAACATCACGATTCTAAAGTACAGCTTTGAAGACCTTCCTATGATTTTATCCCTGAAAACAAATAAATATAAACGTATGTGTAAGCTCTAACAGAAATCTCCTTTTCTTAAATTGCAGATACCTGTCACCATGCTTTTATTTTTTATTTTTGTTTTGTGTACTAATCAGAGCTCTAGTGTACAACTTTAACGTATTTTTTAATGCTTCGATCATGAAAATAATATCTCTATTAAGGCAGCTAGAACACTAAGTACTAAGTATAAATAGGTTCATTTCTGTTCTGAGCATATTGTTAAACAAAATCTATAAAATATAAACTCAAAATACTTTCACCAAGTTTTCTTTATATGTCTCCTGGGGAAAAAAATTATTAATTTTATGAACATTATTATGAACTTAATTTCATTTTCATGCCCTCAGTTTATTTTTCTCAAAGATGAAAAAGCCCAGATCACCTGAGAAATTTTTAAAACGTTGCTTCAGATGAAAAACTAGGATATACCTGAGAGTGAGTATTCGCCTTTCAGACTTTCACTTTCTCGGATTAGGAAGGCTCCTTCCTGGTTTCCAGGGTAAAACAGTTGTCTCTCGGCATCTGCTCGTTTGGTTGAGCCAAAGAACCATCTGAACAAATAAAAACCATTAATTTTACCACTCAGTGAAACATACCAGGAAGACAGTTTAGCTTTTATAAACATGCTGCATATTTACTAAGAGATAATCTGTGCTATGTTAATTAAATGTCAATAGTATGGGGGGAAAAAAGCCAACAAGAACTACAGAACAAATTTATTGCTAGAAAACAGCACTTACATATTTGAATGAAATCTGGATTTTTTTTTGCTGATGAAAAGTCTGACTGTTTTCAAGGCAACAAGCATTCAGAAGTGACAGACTAGTCTTGTCCCAGAAGAAAATCAACAAGAAAATTTGCCAAGGCTACAAGGGCAGAAATTGATGCCAAATCCATTGGTGCCACTTGAATTATGTAGATGTGCAGGTATGTGCTAAGAACCCAACATCTTAAAAATCAAAAGATCTCTGAAACTGCAGAAGGGCTCTCAGATTCCAAGGTGTAAATCACCCTGCTTCCCCATTCCACTGCCACGCCAACACCTCAAATGAGTTACTGGCAGTTTTTCAGCTTTGCTGCTTTTTGACAAACAAAACCAGTGTATCCCTCAAGTCACTACAAATATCTCAGCACCTGTGTTCTGTGAAAATCTACTCTGATCTATGGCTTTTAAAATATTTTTCCTCACTAAATCCTGTAGTTCACAAAGGCTTGTTCAAGTAAAAATTTTAATTTGCTCCTCTGATGATAAGATCTTGCTGCTTTGTTCTGAGTTTAAATTAAAGAGCAATAAGACAAAGATGAGTCAGCATTTTCAACTGGGGTGGTGTTCAGTTTCCGTCCAAAAAACATGCAAAGCTCTTTCCAAGATTAGCTCCATCTCTTATTTGAAGCAAATGATGATAAATAGGTATCAGAAAGATGCCATAAACTTATAGAAGAATTCCTTTTAAATTAATAATAGCTAAAACTATTATAAAAACTTCAAATATAAATCAGTGCACCACAAGTTACCTACTTGATTTGTCAATTACTAGTGAGGAGTGCAGACCGAGTCATCAACAAACTATTTTAGTATCTGCAAGGCTTGTAGTCATCAAGAGGAATGGAGGAAATAAATGAGAATACCTTAGCTGATCAAGCATGAGGACTGATAAATGGGTTTGCATTAACAAAGAGGAAATAAAAAGAGGGAAATATAGACAGCACTAACCCACGCTGAATATGCTTTATTAACAAAAGAAAATTAAAGACAGATTTTCCAGACTATATTCCTGTCTGCTGAGTTGAAGATGATTTGGATAAAATAGGTCTTGATACATATTTGGCAAGCAAAGTAATCTCACTAGAAAGCTGGAATGTGTTAGTAGTAATTTTAATTAGTTAAATGTGTTCATTAATTCAACTAATTAATTAAATTAATTAATTCATTAAACAGTAGAAAACTAAGTAATCAATAAATGTTCAAATCCTTGACTAAGGTTCTTGTCAAACGAAGGAGAGTACAAGTTCAACTGTATCCAAGTCCCAAAGAAAATCTGTCTGCCCTAACATATGAATTAGAATCTTTCTGAAAGTCATAAATATACCTTCTCTGAGAATAACATCTGAAAACTAAAAAACTATATGAGCCAAAAAAAAAAATTCCCCTTGAAGAATTAGATATCACTCAATGGTGTTCAAAGCAAGTGATCTTCATAAGAGTGTATAAGCAGAGGTTTTTAATTTTTTGTCTCCTTTCTTTTGGGGTTACAAAGATAGCACCTTTCAAAAGAATTTAATTTTGTACCAAACCCTAAAGCTTTTCCAATGTATTGTTAGTAAGACTGGATTTATGGTCAGGATAGTCAAAACATAGTCTTTATGTGACTCAGCATTTGAATATACACTATTAGTAAGTCAAATTTCTAAAGCTGAAAACTTGAGCAGTAATACAATCTATGCAACTAGAGGAAACCATTGGTTTCTTTTGGAAATATAAACTAATATACTATTACTATGTGTATGTAAAACCACATCTACAATATAAACCATGATTTGGTAAAATAATATGCACATAAGTGCATCACATTTAGGCATGAGTATCTGCTTCTTTTATTTCTAAACATTTCAACTTATACACTTATTTTTATTAGGCTGGAAAAACTTCACTTAAATCGATATGAAACTGCCATTAAAGGCCATAAAAAGGATATATAATATGTAGGTTCTGACTCCAGATAAGCTTAGCAGTTAAAAAGATCCTAACTTGCAAAATAAGATAATTAGAGAAACAATATTAGAGGAGGTAAGTGTAACTGAAGCAATTATTATGGAGGGTGAAAAGTGGACACATATTGTGTATTACCTCATTTGCCTGACTTTATATGATCTGATTAAAATGTTTCAGAAAAATACAGGGAAAATTACTTTTAATAGCACTTGAATATTTGATTCTTAGTTCAAAGCCATTGGGTTTGCAATAATAATTATACAGTACCAAAAGTAATACTGAATGTGAAAAAAAACCTCTTAACTTCAAAGCAAATAATTTAATTTGTTGTTCCCTTTTTTTTTTAACTAAAGCACATCTGAATTTAAAGTACTATTTTCAGTATAATGGAAGTTTAAATTCCTTTTATAAAGCATGAAGAGCTTATTTCGATTTCTAGCAATTGAACTTATGCTTCAAAAGGCTTAATATTTTACTTCATCCAAAAGTGTGTATCTTAGAGGGAAAAGCACTCTAAAAAGTAATAATGAATCAAAGTAATTGCTCACCACAAGATTCTGCTCTGCAGGATAGGAAGGTCAGACCAAAGCAACACCCAATCCTTGCTAAATCTATTCATGTTTTATAGCTCAAAGACAGATGAAAGTTTTAAAACAGAACACTTGGAAAACAAGAACTAAACATGAAGCACTATTCATTGAGCAAGTTAAGTAACTTCTCTGACTTCAGTGCAGTGAATTGGCACCAGACAGTCCAGGAGAAGTTTGAATTAGCAATTCTTACACAGTATCAATCTGAACTTCAGCTCACAGCCAGGTCACTTTGGGTCATGACTGTCGGTGCGGGATCAGTAGATTACCAGGTATGGCACAAATGAGTGCATTCAGAATGGGGCACAGTTTTCCATTTCTAGCAGGAGCTGTCTGGCTAGCACAGCAACAGTGCTCTTCGTCAGCAAGACCCAGGAACATGCCTTCTTGCTAACACTGCATTCAACCCCCTCCAACTCCCTTTTAAGTGTAGGATGCCAGATCTGTTTTTTGGGAGTTGTTTCTAGAAGCTTCCTCTGAATCCCTTGCCTACACCATCATTCATAGCTATCAGGAATACATTCATTAAAAATTCCAGAGTATTTCCAGGTCATTTTGGCCACCACATAAAAGATGACTTTGGAGCCAGAAAATTTGACCTTCGTATAGGTCCATAACAAACACAGCCCTCACTTATTGCAGATGATGCTCAGTACTGGAATATCAGTGAGATTTATTGTGGCTATTGAGAACCTAGTACTCACATCTGTTTTGACCATCAGTTCCACTAGTACATTTATCATCACCACATCACATCATGGATCATATCAGGTTTTGTCATGGCATGCTCCCTGACTGCGACAGTATCACTGCTCAGACCTCTAAAGAGCTTCATCCAGCAAAGGAAATCTTCATCTAGCTGAATGCTGGTGGGTATGTTTGAAGGGCAATTTTTTTTTAATAAACAGAGATCATGACACCTTACAGTCACTCCTGCCTACCTATTCAGCCCAGTTTGATTTAAAATAGAGTCATGAGTTCAAGGGAAGTTGGTAGTGCTACCTGGCTCCATCACTGCCTTTCCTGAGAAGCTTTCTATCCTCCATGGTGCAATACACTGCTGATCTCCACCTAAATGTCAAAGCTTTATTTACCTGGCTTTGCTTTCTGTCCCCTGTGCTTTGCTACATAAAAATCTGCTAAAATAAAAGGAGTCATTCCTACTTCTGCACTTCTTATAGCAGGAAGATATGGCAGGAACTTTCAAGCCAGAAAGTAGAAGAGAGGAAGAATAACATGGGCCAAGAGCTAAATCAAAGAAAAATATGGAGGCAAAATTCTCCAATTCTATATCACTGGCAACATTTCCAGTGCTTGGTAACATGCATAGAAAAGGACAAAAGCCCCAGTGGAATAAGCAAACCCATAAATATTCCCATAGCAAAAAGAAAGAGTATGCAAATTGGTTTTCTTCCCCCTCATTAATGCAAAATCCCCTTCTGATCAGATCTGTTCAAGGCACTTATCTGAGATAGAGACTGAAGATTTTACAAATCTCAGCTAATCTGGGAACTATGGGCTTTTTCTGTCCTCAAATTCACTCTATCCAACACTCAGAACTAAACTCCTCCCAAAAAAAGGATTCCCAGCCATGCTCCTAATGAAAATGCTCTCAGGGGAAATATTTTTTTGGCAGTCTGCCATTCCTTGGATACCCCTTTCACAGACCCCACACCTCCCACATTCAACGTCTCTTCTTGGTCTCTCCTAAATCCCTAACATGCTAAATCCTGACTCTAACACAAGGTGTGTGCTGAGCCTTATCCAAAGCACCCCACTCATGGGCCACACAAAATATTTCTCTGGACATGTCACTCCTTGGGCAGCTCCTTCACAATTATATTCCAACAGAAACTCTGATTAAGGACTCTGTGAGCATCCCCTTTGGGACGTGGGTAAGATGCTCACGACCAAGCTAAACACCAACCCTGAAATAACATCTGCAATCTTTAACTTTCTTGGAAATCTCAGCAGATTGCTCAATGCTCTTTTATTATTCCCACTGAAAACCAGCAGAGAAAATGATGTGGAATTTTTTCACCCATTTCCTTTAAGGCTCACCAGTTTCCCACTTTTATCCTCTACTATTATTTAGATTTAATATGTACAGGAGAAAAGTCAGAATTAACTCCACAATGTCATATCTGAAGTCACTGAATTTCCTTTAATAAGTGGTTGTAGCTGGGATATCGGGAGATTATATCAGTTTTTCATTCAAGTTGCAGGACACTGGAAGTAAGATACGGCT